AGAGTCACCCAGGCGCCAACAAGCGCCAAATCATGGTTCATCCGGCGGTGTCCATGAGTCAGTAGTGTGAGTCTCACACTACTGACTCATGCAGCTGGATCTTGCAGCTGAGTCTCACACTGTGCAGACATTTTTGATATAACACAGGTTCTTCATAAACCACATTTGAAGGAGGAGACTAAGGTTGAACGCTGGGTAAGACAAGAGAAAAGGCAAGAGGCAGGGTACTGGTTACGTAACCCATCATTCCGTGGAGTACTTAACTGCCAATCGCAACGCAGCAAGCAGCGCAACGTCCGAGGCTGCCCTCAACGGGTCGTACGTGGACCATGTCACGAAAGCCGAAACACACCAAATTTCCTGGCCCCCACACCCCCGCAGCTTTCCGAAGAGTAGAGCGAAAAGCACGAGGACCCTGCCGGGTGCCCTCCCTTCCTCTCTGCTGGTTTGCGCCCTGGGAACGCCGACGACGACTGCAGCGCTAGGAACCTACTCTTATGGGACCTTGCTTTCCATGAACAGCAGATCTTGAGGTTTGCCTTTACATCGTTTCTGTGTCTACACTGATTCATCTCCTATAGTAGCTCTTTCCCGCCCGGCTTGCACCCCGACTCGGCCCAGGCGTTCTTCGTGTCGCTGCTCGTCTAGTTCTCCTATATTTCCCTGGTGTCTTCCGCAAGAACGGCGGCATTCAGACGCAGGCGCGCATCACGCGCTGGACGGAGAGCACCCACCGCGCGCCCCAGGCGGACCCCTTCGCCTCGCCCACCCCCGTCGCCGCACCCGCACCGCTTCCGAGTCGGCGCCGCACGCGCTCGCTGCGAGCGCGACCGCACCTCGCCGCCGCCGGTGCCGCTGCAACAACCCCTCGCGCCCCCCCTGCGCCCGCAGACCGCACCGCCCAAGGGTGACATCTACGGCGTCCAACAGCCTCTATACCCCGCGGTCGTCCAGCCGTACTTCTACCCCCAGCCACCGCCGGCGGCGGCGCCGACGCACACGCGGAGCTCCTCGTACCAGCAGCCGCCGGTCGCGCGCCGTCAGGGGTCCTACCCCCCGCCGCCGCCGCCCCCGGGGTTTATGTATGCGCAGCCCGGGCCGGGCCCGCAGTCGGTGTACGCACCGCAGCCCCCGCCGGTGTACGCGCCCGGCCCCGTATACGCACAGCCGCAGCCCATGTATCAACCGCAACCGGTGCGGAGCCCGACGCGCGAGGTGCCGCTGCTCAGGCGTGTCTTTGGCTTCGCCGGCGGCGGTGGGGGCGGGAGCGGGAAGCTGGGCCGCGAGAGTAGTCGGGGTCGCGATTCGGGGCGGGATAGGGAGAGGGAGAGAGGGAAGCCGAGGAGGAGTGAGACGTATTAAGGGCGGGGTGGGGGCGGCGCGCCACACTGTGGGTTGGTGGGTGGCGTCGTCGTGAGTGCGCATCGACTCGCGAATCGCGCCTGCGTCACTTGCTTGCCTTCGCCTTTGTCTTCGCATCCGCGGTCGCCTTCGTCTCCACCCCTCCTCTCCTCAGCGACCCGCGAACCGCGACCGGCCCGCGCCACGCCCATACAGTCCTCCTTCCGCGCACACGCCCTCGCCCCCCGTGCCCGCCCCCCATCGCCGTCCCCGCCCCCCGGTGATGGCCCCTCTCGTCGCGAGCGCCAACGCCACACACATCCACCAGCAATCGCGCGCGCACCACACACCCCGCAAATCGAATCCGCATCATCGCAGATCCACCCATGTTCTCCGCCCTCGCTCACCGCGACCGCCACGGCGCGCAGCTATTCCGCTCTACACACCATCATATTGTCTCCTCGTACCTCTCCCCTCCCCTGCATACATCCCTCACCACCGCATCCACGCCATCTCCGCCCTCCTCGTACATACCACACACGCCTCTATAATCCTACACACCTGCATACCACCCGCGGACGTCCGCTATACCTCAGTGTATTATATCTTCCGCACCTCTTGTCTTCTTTGCATGTATATAAACAAAACATCTTCGCGCGCGTCGGGAGCGCGAATTCTCCATTTGGCGGTATGGAACGATGTACGTACACGGAACGAGAGCTCGAACGTTGTGCACGGTGCACGCCCGCTCCCTCTGGGAGTCCAGTTATGAAATTTAGAGGCGGGAAGGCTGGGTTCGACTCCCAGCGTCCGAATGATGTGCCCCTTCCTTTTTCACCCTCTGGGCAAGTGAGTTAGTATTAAGGATACTTACGGCTCTCGCGATCGCCCCTCGCCTACACACATATATATATATTCAGGTATACTGATCTTAAGAACTCGGACGTGGTGTGCGGTGCACGCCGCTTCTAATAAGATAGATCACTGCGTTTGAAGCGGGAAGCCTGGGTTCGATTCCCAGCGTCTGTATTTGTTGAAGGATGGCTCTTTTTGCCTTTCGTGCAACTCACTCTCATAAAACCCCCGAATATTCGCTCTACCTTTATAACGGGATATATTTCCATGAATTTCTGATCCTTGAGATGGGGTGATGTTGATTCTCCGTGCGTGCTTCTTGGACTCGTATGTACTGATTATTTCTGAAGCATGGATTCAGGTACGCAAGGTTCAGAGGAAGTCGGACGTGCTGCGCGGCGCACACCTGCTCCCTCTAGGGATTCCGTCGTGGACGAAATTTATGAGGTGGGAAGGCTGGGTTCGACTCCCAGCGTCCGAATGATGATGGCCGACTGTTTTTTTTTCAACTCTCGGACAAGTACACACATATATTCCTCGCCGCCGATCGGCCTTTCACCTCCCAGCGTCCAAATTCTGCCCACAGATCCTTTTTTTTTTCACCCTCCGGGTAAGTGGCTTCGGTTAGTATTATAGTAAGCTAATGCATTACTCGTATCTTAAGCAGATGTGGTGATGGTATGTGCATATGTTTACATTCTTCTTTTTCTCTCACTCTCCGCCTGGCAGCCGCCGTACGTCCATCCTATTTCCGATTTCATTCCATCGGTTCCAGCCGGTTCCATTAACTTGGTTGCGTCTAGACCGTTTTTGTCGCGTTTTTCCTCCAATTCTATTTTCAGGGTTTGCCTGCTAACGGGTGTATCCGAAATTAACTTCGATCCAGAGAACTGGATCCGCCACTATGTTATTTTCGACCTCGCCGATCAGCCTCTTAATTTCCGTTCAAAAGGACCGGGTTGTTTCGCATTCTTCTTTTTTCCTAATCCCCATCATCCTCGCCCGTATTGCATCACTTGATTCGCTTCGTCGCTCCCTCTGTGTGGTTTAATTTGTGCGTTGTTTCTGCAGCTGACTTCGAGTCTCCTTTTACAGCGTAACAAGAGTTCACGAGTTGGTTTAATTTGTCCCTGTGCTTACATTAAAACTCTGAGGTGCGCTGGAATGTCTCAGTTCAAGATCACATACTCATAGAGAAGTATGGTCGGTCTCCAGCTCCCTTCTCTCACAATACATCAAGCTTAGGCATTACACTCGCTTCCTGCCCCTGTTTTGCCGTCTGATGGTTTTTATCAGGTTCACTTCGTTCCACTGCTATATCTCCTTAGCTTCATAGAGTGCTACTGTTTCTTCCTACGATCCCGTTTTTTTTTTTTTTGTTCTCTTTGATGGTGAGCTATCAGCTCAAGCAGTCCAAAGTTGTTATCATGTGAATCATTTCTAGGGCATTGATATCTGGGTGTGCTACTGCACTAAGATATTTCTGCTTTCATACGCATGTTTGGTATCAGGTAGTGATCAAGAATAACAGATGGATGGAAGGAAGCCTATAGTCCCGTCCACGGTGAGTTTTCCCATTGTCAGGAAATCATTAGTTCACGTCACCAACTCCAACATTAACTGATTCAAATCAGTGCGGTGTATCTTTGGCCGGCCGACTTTTTTCTTTAATTTAACGTGCGTTTTTCTGCTGTCCTCCCCGCGTGTGAATGTCAGGTGCTCCAATCAGTGCTCTTTAAGTACTAATGTATATCATTGCGGTGAGTTCCATTCCTCTGTTGCATTCTTCTCAACACGGCTGACTAGGCTCCGCGAGGCTTAACGCGTCGGCACTGTTCTGTCCGCCTGGTGCATTTTTCTGCTGTCCTCCCCGCGTGTGGATGCCAGGTGCTCTAATCAGTGCTCTTTGAGTAATGTATATCATTGCGGCGAGTTCCATTCCTCTGTTACGTTCTTCTCAACACGGCTGACCAAGCCCTGCGAGGCTTAACATGTCGGTACTGTTCTGTCCAACCTGACTCCCCACCGCTCCGCATCAACTTCGAACATCTTATTGACCCTCCTTTTGTTATTAAATGTTCGTGTTCGCGGTAGACAACCTCTTGCCAACACGTGGTGTTTGCTCACATGTTTTTGTTAGCCTTGCTTTTCCGCCATGTATGCACCGTCATTACGTGACGTACGCTCACACACTCCTTCTACCCTGCCATTCAGTCATAACGAATCTGCAACACGGCTGATGTTCGATATGAGAAGTGTCTTTGGTGCGTTACCTGACATGTTGTATTATCCAGCCATAATATGGCACGCCGATACACCCGGTGCAACTTCTATTGATCTTCGACAGCCCAACGAGGTAAGTATCGAATTTATTACCAACGTGCTCGCGCTCAAAGCCAGCAGTTAAGTGGATTGATGGCAATGGTACGTCCGAGGTTCAGTCTATTCCCAACATATGTTTCCCTCGCTTCCGTTTTTTCTATAGATGTGTCTTTGACTCTCTCTACCAATCATTCTGCATTCACTCGCAATCCAATTTTAGATGAAGAAGGGCGGGTTACGCATTGGACTGAGACTTGATTTATGTCACAGATATTTGTATGTCGATCCTTCAATGAATACATGAAATTTTAAATGCACTTTCCTCGTATCGATACCAACCAAGGATCAGAGACCTGCCTTATCATTAAGATTCAAAATTTGAGGTTGATGGTCTTTCAACTGCGGCAGCTTGCACATACACCGGAGTGAAGCGAAGGCATGTCTTGTATATATATATACAGGTACGCAAGTCAGAAAGAGACTCGGACGTGGTGTCTGGTGCACGCCCGTTTATATTAGCCTGAAAACTTACAAATAAAGCGGGAAGCCTGGGTTCTCCTCCCAGCGTCCGAATACGCATTGTGATGGCATGTTTTTTTCCTCCTTCCTTACAACAGCCTGCCCTTAGACTATTGTTTGATCCGTGATGTTGAGTTTAATGTTCCTCAAGGCACTTCCCAGACTAACTCTTTGCATCTAACCTCTAACTCTTTATAAAATAATGTCTGTCTGAAGCCTTTAAACTCCGCACGGATATCATTGACGGCAGTCGACGCGACAAATTGCCGGGGCGCGGACCGCCCCGACGCACTCTTGTCATATATAAAGGTACGCAAGGTTAAGAGGAACTCGGGCGGAGTGTATGATGCACCCCCGCTTCTTTTAACGCTTGAAGTTTACATATTGTGGGAAGCCTGGGTTCGACTTCCAACGTCCGGATTCACTATCTGAGGTGGTCATTTTGTCTTCCTACAACCGGTCCATAATCATCTCGCTCTGCGAGCCGACAACTTGAACCCCGGCGATCTGAATTTAGGACCCAACCCCTGGCAGCCCGTTCGAAAGCGACTGTTATTTCCTTCCGAGTGCTTCGCGTGGACGTGGGTGGATGGTTTTTGCATTATTTATTCAGGGCTGTAAGAGGGAGTTAAATTTGGATATGGTGTATGGTGCACCCTCACTCCCTCTTCAGGGTTACGAAGTTTAGAGACGGGAGGGCTGGGTTCGACTCCCATCGTCCAAATCCTGCGCGACGCGGTTTCTTTTTCTTGTCCACCTGCACATAATTTCCTCGCTCTCTCAGCGCTCAGCTCACGCGTGGCTTAATCCTACCTAGCCATCGATCTACCTACTTACCAGCGCGGGATCTAATTCTCAACCGAACCAATTAAGTAAAGATCGGCAATGCAATTTTTCTGCTAATTCCATCCGAGCGCCTCACCCCCCATGGGACGGGTGGTTTTTTTATAGCATCTATGCAGGTACAGAGGGAAGATAGTAGCTCGGACGTAGGGCACGGTGCACGCCCGCTCCTTATGTTTTCACATTCATTTCGTGATGCGGGGAGCATGGGTTCGACTCCCAGCGTCCGAGTTCAGCTCAGCCATTCAACTTAGCTTTTTTCTCTCTTAGAACTTGGGCATCATGATAAAGAGTCCTCTCGGTCTCAGGCTCAAATCACGCACCTCCCTGTAACCCGAGGATCTAGATTCATATGCCACGTGATTGGCGGGAACTTGGAATGTAGGTCATGCTGGGTTAGATTTTGCTTCCGACCAAGGGCTTGGGCGAATGATTCTTGAAGCATGTATTTAGGTACGCAAGGGTGAAAGGAACTCGGATGTAGTGCATGGTCCACACCCGCTCCCTTTGTTTGTCCACAGCGCATTTAGAGGTCGGAAGCCTGGGTTCGACTCCCAGCGTCCGAATAGTTGTGTCGTATTGCTTTTCTTTTTCAGGCTTCGACCCAGGGCAACTACAAATTTTTACCACCTCCCTCCCACCGACGAATTGGGATTTGGTATTGAAGAGCAGCGGGCGGGATTTGAATGTGGTTCAATTTTCTTCCTTCTTTCCTTCCTTAACGCAGTGTTCTTCCTTCTACTAGGCTATGTATGTATTCAAGTACACAGACACTAAGAGACTCAGACGTGGTGTATGGTGCACACTCACTCTCTTTAGAAGAATTGGGACCAGAAGTTGGTGCGGGAAGCCTGGGTTCGATCCCCAGCGTCTGAATTAATACCGACGATGTCACCTTTGGTTCAGCTCTTTTTATGACTGCGCATAATCCTCTCGTTCTCGCTCTTAGACCAATCCCGGCTCATCGGTCGCGAAACCTCTCGCCAGATGAATTCCAAGACCACTCGATTGATGGGAACTTGGGAATGCAGTGAATGGTAAATTTGGGTTGAAGTTCCCTTCCGGCTGGGGACGGATGATTTTGCAGAATATATTCAGGTACGGAAGGTTCAAAGGAATTCGGACGTAGTGCACAGCGCAAGCCCGCTGTCCTTTGGCCCGGTCTACCTTTGGAGCGGGAGGGCTGGGTTCGAATCCCAGGGTCCGAATTCCCAACAGATCGATTTCCTTTTTCACCCTCCGGGCAAGTGAATTGGTATTACAATATCTCCGACGGCTCTTGCCTCTGAATATATTCAGGTACGCGCCGAGCATAAGAACTCGGACGTGGTGCATTAGGGTTCATGGTGCACGCCCGCTTCGACTTGAAGCTTACATATGTGGGAAGCCTGGGTTCGAATCCCCAGCGTCCGAATTCGGCCGATACGACCATCTTAACTTTTTTCTCTCTGGTCTTGCAACCTGGCCATAAGAAATCCTCTCGGTCTCAAGGGCGTCCTACGTAGAAGGCCCTCAAAACTGGTCGAAATTTGATTAAATCACTCCAAAAGGAATCCGAGGGTGTGGCTCGCTGCCGATTGATCGCACCATATCCGGAGGGAGTTCACGAAGAACTGGTGCCAGGGCAGCTGTTCTATCCACAAGTGACGAAACAGAGAAAACATCGGCCGCACCCTAAGCTCCGCAAACGGCTGCAAATATCTGAAAGTGGCTGGAAGCCTTTATGTCCAAATAAAACTGAATAAAACTGTCTGGCTTAAAACATGAGAATCTGGCCTAAAACGACCCGCAGTCCGAGTCTACAACGTCTTCAGCAATCTTCTAATTGACCTCCTGATTAAAAATGCTGAAACACACGAGGAACAAAATAAGACGAGTCCACCATCCGCAGGACTAAAGTGCAGCTCTAGAACTCCGGGGTTGCGACACCAGCAACCACCATGGTAAGAACGGCGAGAGGCAGCCAAGGAACGGCCTTGATTCTAAACCCAGAATTTGCTGCCGCCGGGGCCGTAGACCCTGCAGAGGAGGAGCCTGAGGTCGGATCACCAGCAGCCGGGAAAGAAAGACCACTGTTCTGGGAGCCGCCTGCAGAGGGAAGGAATGTGGGGCTTTCCGCTCCGGTTGTTTGAGTCAGTCCGGAACTGCCTTAACAGCGAGGTGAGGCGCGATATCCGACCGTAAAAGAAGAACGGCCTACTGGTTGTTGTTGGTATATCCGGCGTGGTATCGATATCGGTAGTAGTTCTGCGCGTAGTCGTGGGGGCCTTCGGGGTTGTTGTTGGTGTATCCGGTGTGGTGTCGGTAGTAGTTCTGCGCGTGGTCGTGGGGGCCTTCGGGGTTGTTGTAGGATCCGCTGCTTTGTGTGTGGTAGTTGGAGGGGGAGGGGGAGGGGGAGAACCGTCGCCATCTCCACAACTTGGGCTTCCGTCCGACTCGCGGACTAGAATAAGACAGAATTCTTGAGTCGAGGGTACACTTCCAATGAAGAAAAACACTCACAGCATTTTTGGCCGGTCGCTTCACAGGCCGAAGACATCAGAGGTGTGATAAAATCACGCACGGAACTGGACCTACGGCAGCAATAATTATCGTTCGGACAAAGCTCGAACCCAGATTCTGAGCATTGGTTCCCGATTCCACTGCAGACCTGGCCGTTTGGACAGCAGCCTACTCCATCGCAGTACTGACTAAATGAAACAAAATCATGAGCAACCTCAAACAAGATATGAAAGTGGATCGCCAACATACTTCCCGGCGCAACAGCCTCCATCTGCACCATACATAGATAATAAATAAATAACATGAAAAGGCAAAGACAGGATTGCACGAACCTGAACAGCAGTTTTCTTGAGGCGTGCAGCATCCTTGGTTGCTGCACAAGTTCAGGCCGGGGTCGCAGAACAGCTGGCGAGCGCCAAGGAGGCCGCGAATCGTAGTCTCGCGGGGCTGAACATGGTGCCGGATGAGAGGCTGCAGCAGGGACAGGCGTGCTACAGAACGACTCTGGTTATCCGGTACATGGCAGTACACGCCTGAGAGGAAGGCCGCGAAGAACAACAGTCGGGGCAGAGAAGGCATTTGGGCGTGTAGGGAGACTGCAGAACCACCTGCGCGCCGTGCTTTTAAGCTCCAGTTCCTTCTAATGAATGATGCTGATGTATTATGACAGTCGTTACGGAGGCGACATTTAGGTGGTTCTGTTGGAGTAGTTGCTGCAGCCTGTCGAAGAAGGTTGAACAGATTTATATCACCTGTGGTGCCATTGCCACCTGGTAAACTCGACAGCCGGTGCGGATTGGCACGGCTAAAATAGCAGGCAATTTTGTTGACTGCAAGAGATCAGGATACCACTGAGAAGCACCATCTAAAGACGCGCTCTCAAAGATAGCGTATCATGCAGTTCTGAGAACGACACGGAATTGTTGACAATCGTTATGCGGAATATTTTTAAAACATCATTGAGATGCGTATCTACTGAGCAACGTAAATATCTTGGCGGAATAGGCGCGCGACAAAAGCACAGCAAGAATGGGAATATCGAGCCTCACATTTTTCAGATGGCATGGTCCGACTTCGGGCTCCGATGGGTTAGCGTTTTGCATGTCAGTTCTTCCAAAGAGCATGCATTCCGTCGACGCTTCAGAGAAAAATGGACGGGACCTGCAACTATCCCGGCGCCTGAGGGATCGTGTGGCGCCCTTATTTTACAAACACGTTGCAAGTCCCTGAAACCGGTGGCACCTTGATTTTCCCACCGGAGCATGGACATGCTCTCGTTCCCTGGAACGGATCTAGGTCAGCACGAATTCGAACTAATAGGATAGGAGATAGCAGTGCGGGGGTAGCTGTTCTGGCACGCATGCCCCAGGTCGGACCGAGGCGTGTGGTGCTCAATACAGACACCAACGGAATAAAGATTCGGGTGGGGCAAGACTTAGACCGGTGACCGTCTGTCGTATCAAAAGTGATACTGTCGATAGACAGACCGGTCGATCTGAGCTTGAATTCTCGATCTTGAGCGGGTTACCATAAATGGCTATTCCGGACCACGCGTTCCCTGCGGGCAGCTGTTGATCCAAGCAACAACAACACAATCAAATCGCTTCTATTCCGCTCAATTTCCGGCCTTTTCTCTTCGGGTGAAGACCGATGTATAGGCACTGAGAATACACACATACATTCCTTGAAAATGAATGAAAATTTGGAGGGATAATGAAAATCGTGAATAGCCCGAAAAGGCAACTGGCTCAACATTAGAAATTCAAACTCAGATCGACGCCTGTCCACTCTTGACTTTCCGCCTCAGATCAAATTACCAAATTCGGAACGGCAGCTTCGATCTGAGACGGAAACTCCCGAAGTCAGTCTTGTGACTGTCATGAGGCCAATCAAGGGCCGATCAAGGCAGCCGCGAGCCTTAGACGCGTCTTCCAAGGTGTCTATCGACAGTATCACTTTTGATACGACAGGATGGTAACGAGCAGGCTAGGCGAGACTGCGCATCGTTGATCGCCCATGATCGATCTCACACCGCCGAAGCAGGTGAGTGCTCTGACCTGAGTGGAATCCGCAGACTCGGAAGTGCAAGTCATAAACTTACCGTCAGCGCCCACTGGTTCGTCCATTCTTCGAGATCGTTGTGTACATTTGCATTGCAGTCTATTCGTCCCAAGACAACAATTGGAGACGACGACGTTCAATCAACGTTATACGATTGAAGGAGAGCTGGGGTAAGAATCACGGGACGGTCTGCCGGTTGATATGGAAACGATACGGAAATCGAGGTGCGAAAATGACAAGGCGGCGCCGTCGTCAGAGGAATATCCACACAACGTGAGGTCAAAATTGCATACAGAAAGTGTCTTGACAACATCGCCAAGTTCAGCAGACACCCCAAAGAAGTTGCTACCACGGTCTGGACGTTGTACCACCTTGGACCCGTGCATCATGTACATTGAAAAAACTTTGTGAAAACCTGTAAATGTTGTCAATCACAGGATATTAACGGACATCTTTTGGCCCGAACTTGGCGCGTTTACTCCGCTTGCGGTGAAACTAGCAATTTCGGATGTGTCAGCTTTTTGAAGATGGCGTCGTATACTTGGTATGTTAATTTGCCTTTCAAGCCCGGGCCCAAGCCCAAGCCCCGGGTCTGAGATGCTGTCTGAGGGCTCGGGTTCGGGCTCGGGAAATCTGAAGCTCAAGCCACCTCAGGCCGGGCCCAAGCCGGGCGTCCAGGCTAAGCCGAACTTTGAGCATCACTAACAAAGATACAGCCCGGGCTCCTTAATCGTGCCTTTTGCTACAAGGAACGGCGGGAGCCCTAGGTTCGATTTCTAGTGTCCGAATCAGTAATCTCTATAGTGCTTCTTTACCTCCCGAGTTGTATTGATCTTGTGTCTTGTAAATTTTCCTCTCGTGCTTCGCTGAGCAGTTCCTGAACAGTATCTTCACACTCCTGGCACGGCCCGAGTTAACTTGAGCTGAAGCCGGAATATTGCGAGCGGGGTGGGTGTCAATACTATGGTGCTTGAACCGCGGCGGAGGAGGGCTATGGACACGGACGTGGTCCAGGGCGCACGCCCGCTCTCCTTAAAAAGAAAGGACAGGGAAAATGAAAAGTGGGAGCCCTGGTTCCGACTCCCAGAGTCCGAATATGCGTGAATATTCTTTTACATATATCCACTCATGCTTTACCTCCGATCTCCAGGTCCGGCATCTATTCTGCACGACCGTATCAGGTCATCACGGGCGTTGTACGGCTCGGGAAAAGGCTCCTGCTTATCCAGGTGATAACTCGGATGTTGTGCACACTTTTCTTATGCAACGTTGAACGACCCTGGCTGTGGTTGAAACTGGCTTTCGAGGATCTCACCATCTTCGGCCCCATTCCGCTGCGACACATTTAGCATCCTGGAGGAAAATGGAGCTCCAAAAATCATGCATAGGTCTTGGTTGAGTGTTGCAGGCGTGTCAGCATGTTTTCAACACCTTTTGGCCTTTTCGTGATATTCGGCTGATCTCGGCTAATGCGGAAGGTCCCGGCTTGCGCGATTGTCCGCCTCCGCTTGCAAGTTGTTCTGCTCTTACCACGGCCACAGGCCACACTAGGCTTATCCGCTTATTGCCTTATTGTCGTGGTGACCTTGTGTGTCACCCTCTTTATAAAATTACGTGTGTCCGTCTGTCCGAAGCTTTTTAAACTTCGCTGATCCCTGGAAGTGCCGCTTTGATTTTGACCTGCCGGGCTTGATCTGCACCTGCTGCACGGTGTGCTTCGATCATTCCGCACTAATGCCGCCCTGCGCCGCTCACGGCAGCTTGCCGTCACCATTGACAGCCATCTGACAGGCACTGCCCGGGTGCCACCTTCTCTCCCACCCGGGCTTGCCCCACACTGATTGAAACTGGCCAGTCTTTTACTGTAATTCATTTATGTACTGTATGTCCCAGTTCTCCCTCTTTATAATAATTCTCATTGATAAATTGCCCCACAGATAAGTTTCACTTGTGAACAAATTTCACCACTTAAGGACAGAATTGAATGCTGTGCTCAGAATAGGAAGCTTCGACTTCGTCGAAACAGACCTTGCTTGGCCAAGGGTGGACACATAAATTATACTCCACCTATTGCATGGGTGAGTGCCCATCCTTTGGGCTTTGCGAGCTCCTGCTTGCGCCTGAGAGTTTTGCAGACAGCTGAGACAGGTCAATTTGTATATGATAATTTTTCGTGGCCCTGCTGCGCAGCATGGCAGACAATTGAACCATTTTTATTTATTTTTTATTGCTGTGTGTCGGAGAAGACACTGGGGAGAATGAGCTTCCCGGAAGTTATGTAAATTTTACGTCTTTTCGGGAGAAATAGGATCGCCGGGTCGCATGAAACTGGTGCCATTATGAGGGTGGAGAGACCTTGACAAGCAAGGTAAAGGCGAAACAAAAGTACACCAAAATATTGTATCCAGAAGTGGAATAAAAGAAATGAAGTGTTGTGCTTCTGCGTTATTTGGCCAATTGCTTTGTGCAGTGATTCACAATTCTTTGCAGACCCCACAGTGAATAGCGGATTCAACTCAGCTCATTCAATCAGGTGCATCAGAGCTTTGACGCTCGCAATATTGCTTGGACATTGCCCAACTACAATGGTGCACAACACACGAGCACTTCCCTGACGAGCAGCCTGCTTTCAAAGACCGGGTGAATGATGCGTTGCTCCTGCTCCGCCCCCTGTGGTTTTGTTAAACACATAAAAGGGGATGGGAGGCCGCGAAGCGGCCGACCACCCCCTTGTATCCCATCAATCTGCCGACTCCCTTGTTCCATAATTGAGGTACGCAAGACGGTGAGGAACTCGAACGTGGTACACGGCGCACGCGCGCTCCGGGCTAAGGATGGACACGGGTACACCCGCGGGTGCGTTCGGGCTTACCCGTACCCGTACCCGCGTACGGGTCGGGTCTAAAACCCGTACGGGTTACCCGCGGGTCTTCAACGCACCCGGGTCCCCAAACCCCGTCGGGTATACCCACGGAATTTCCAGCATCAAGAACATCTTATTGTCCAGCACGGTGCAGTAAAATGTAGACTATTTAACAATTAATTAGATTTGGGTTTGTTTTCTGCTGTGTGCTCTCAATGGAGGTTGAACCCGGTGTGAAGGTGCTTCTCAACAGTTGAAATTGCTGTTCTGCTGAACTTGTTGATGTAGAAATACTCCAGCTTGAAGCTGGGGTGAGGTACTATTATACAGCAAGAAAATTTGAAGGAAACTACTACATAATGAGGGACAAATAGTAGATGCGCAAAAACCTGCGGGTACACGGGTCGGGTACGCGGGTTGAGCGCGGGTCTGAAATCACGACCCGTACCCGTACCCGCCCTCACCGGCGGGTACAAATCCGCGAGTGTACCCGCGACCCGTGTCTATCCTTAGCGCTCCCTCTAGAGGTCCCGTTGTGAAATTTAGAGGTGGGAGGCCTGGGTTCGACTCCCAGCGTCCGAATGGTCACCCACAGATCCATTTCCTTTGTAACCCTGCGGGTAAGTGACTTGGTACTTACATATTACAGTGAGTATCCCGCGGCTCTCGCCCTCGCCCTCGCTCATGCATATATTTAAGTACACACCAAGCATAAGGAATCGGATCTGGTGTATGGTGTACGCCCGCATCTACTGTGTACGAAAGGCTGGTAGGTCCAGCGGGAAGTGTGGGTTTGATTCCCAGTGTCCGAATTAGGCGGAGACATCCATCCTACCTTTTTCTCTCGTGGAACTTGGGCATCATGATAAAGAATCCTCTCGGTCTCAGGATCGCACCACGCACCTCCCTGTAACCCGGAGATCTGGATTCAAATGTAACTTGATTTGCGGGAACTTGGAAATGTAGTTGATGCTCGGTTGGGTTTCTCTTCTAGGTGACCGGGACTTGGGACGGATGACTTTTAAAGTACGTATTCCGGTGCGCAAGGGTGAAAGGAACTTGGACGTGGTGTATGGTGCACCCCCGCTCCCTTGGTTTGTTCACAGAGTACTTGGAGGCGGGAAGCTCGGGTTCGATTCCCAGCGTCCGAATAGATTGGCGATCACCTTGCTTTTCTTTTTCAGGCTTCAACCCAGGGCAACGACAAATTTCTCTCTGACCTTCACCACCTCCCTTCACCATTTGGTATTGAAGCGCAGCGGTCAGGATATGAATGTGATTCAAGTTCCTTCCTTCCTTCCTTCCTTCCTTAACACGGTGTTCTTCCTTCTACTAGGCTATATATATATATTCAGGTACAAAGGCAGCAAGGGATTCAGACGTGGTGTATGGTGCACACTCGTTTTCTTTGATGGATTTCTAGAAGTTGACGCGGGAAGCCTGGGTTCGATCCCCAGCGTCTGAATTAATACTGACGATGCCATCTTTGGTTCAACTCTTTTTGTGACTTTGTGCGTAATCCTCTCGCTCTCAGACTGTGCTCGGCTCATCGGTCGCGAAGCCCCTCGCCAGGTGAATTCCAAGACCACCTGATTGATGGGAACTTGACAATGGAGAGGATGTTAAATTTGGGTTGTATTTCCCTTCCGGCTTGGGACAGATGACTTTTGCAGAATATATCCAGGTAAGAAAGGTTGAAAGGAACTCGGATGTAGTGCACGGCGCACGTCCAAGTACTCTCCCCGAGATTGTACTTAAAGTTGGAAGCCTGGGTTCGATTCCCAGCGTCAGAATAAAATAGGTCAGCAGTTGTTTTTCGTGTAACCGGTCCATGATCCTTTGTGAATACGCCCAACTCCTCCCTTTCGACCACACATCGCAGCTGGTTTGCCAGCCCGCCCGATTGTGGGAATGCAGGTAATGTTGGGTTGTATTTCTCTTCCGAGTGCTTCTCAGATTTATTATTTTGGCAGCATGTGTTCAGGTATGTGTTCAGTCAGGTACACATGTAACCTAGGAACTCGGACGTGGAGCACGGCGTACACCCGCTCTCCCCCCACCTTGACGAGAGAGCCTAAGCAGTGGGAATGCTGGGTTCAACTCCCGGCGTCCGAATAGCCATTTGAGCCATTTTCAGCCTGACAATTTCCCATTCTGCACCGACTACAGCGGACACAGTTCGATCTGAGTCCTTCGGAATCGTTGTAGTTTGGTCCCTCCCATGGTCGACAGCGCTGGTCTCTAAGTAAGTATAATTAATTCTTCCTTCTCTATGATGATTTTGCACACTATACAGGTACACCGGGTACAGTGATTCCCCGGTCACTGAAACACCACCGGTCACTGAAACACTCAGTTATGAGATGTTCCCTGATCCTACTGAGCTCAAATGTCGCTTATATCGAAGTACAATACATAAAAACATGTTCCCCCAATTCCAATACTTCATAACTACTCAGAGGGGCTGTCAGTGAAACAGTCGATTTCGGCCAGTACGGACTCATTTCTAGCTCAATCAACATAAAAATCTGGGTCGAGCAATTTGACTGTTTCAGTGACCGGTGGATCACTGTAGAGTCTGTTTGACGTGGTGAGCATTCACCTGTGGGCAGCCTGGGTGCGACACCCAAAATTCGAATATGAGTTGATGAAGTTTCTTTTTCAACCTGCACACAACCAAGGCTTACCTCGGCAGGATGCGGTGCTCTGCCTCTCAAGCCGGTGAAACGGTGCAGTGAAGCGCAGCCGTGAAATCTAATGCTAACTGAGTGAGACCTTAGTCTTAACTCAAACGAACACCAAACCTCAAAACTATCAACTCCAACTAAGCTTTATCGTATTTTGTTCGGGAGGTAGGTCAGGCGTATCGACCGTCAATCTCAATAGGTTGGGACAATGTGAATTCTTTGGGTTTTCTGGCTAAGAGAGTTCCGGAGAACAAACTGGTGTATGACTTTAACTAGCGTAAACGCCGGTAGGTATATCTTTGGCGTAGACTGTTTAGGTCTACTGAGCGAACTGGCGAACTCGACCCCAAATGGCGAAGTGGCGTATGAACGGCGTGACTAGGAATTGTTCTACGTCCGAGCAAAGTGGCGTGTGGCAAAGTGGCGTATGAACGGCGTGACTAGGAATAGTTCTGCGACCGAGCAAAGGGGCGTATGACCGGGTGGTGTACGAGCAGCGCGACTAGGAATAGTTCTACGACTGGTCGAAGTGGCGGAGGCTGAGGACGGAGGGACAACTCAGGCTTACGCCAAGGGAGTGTGTGCGTCGAACGGGATAAGGAACGGAGTCCTTATAAGCTGCTAAGAGCTATGTGCCAAGAAATGGGGGAGTTATTCACTGTCTAACTACTAAAATACATGCGGCTTTTATACTACTAGAGGGATTGATCCCAACTAACTAAGAGAATGATAGGCGACTTTACAAGCGAAGAACTGATGCGAAGCGAGACATATCCTGGCTGTTGGGCAGACCTAGAGGCGTCTGCCCGGGTATTATTTTGATGCTGGTGCCGCCAATCACCAGTACTTCCTGTTTAAGCCACCTCTGCTTACATTCTCCTCGCGTAGGCTCGGTTAGGAGCGTCCGCAGTCCTCCATAGTCTGATCCAACTGATGGGCTGACTGAGCCCTTCTACTTAGCCGTTGAGCACCAAACATTGTACATGTTTGGTTCAAGTTGAGCGCGCCACATCCCACGTGATTGGTTTAGGGCCGGCTGCTATGCCACTAGGCCACGACACCTGAGCGATGAGGCTACGCCAAATGGCACTGACGCCACAACACCTTTATAGGTTCTTCCGCCAATGAGTCCGCCAATAGCAATAGCTTTTATCTCGAGTTTTTCCTTCCAATGCCCCTTGATTAACCTTACGCCCATGTTGACATCGAGCTTGTTGCATATTAATACAACTTGCCGGACGAGTCCCATGGCTAGCTAGTGTGGATGAGTCCGAGCCGTAATCTTGGGCTCATTTAGAACCCGCCAATACACCCTCAGTCTCCTTGGTTTAGATGCTAGTTTGCAGCGTTTAATAACGGTTCTAATGTTCAGCCCCGGGAATAGACTAACACCCTCTAAGTCTTATGTATTCCTTGGTTCTAGGCCTCCGGCGCCAGAACCATTCAAAAGCGATAATTTCAGGCGTGCACGGATGCACGCCCTATCACCGGGAATACAAACGGTTAGCCCACTCGTTCGGAAATGACTCGGCAATGCAAGTGAGGCATGATTCCCGGTCACTGAAACACCACCGGTCACTGAAACACTCAGTTATGAGATGTTCCCCGATCCTACTGAGCTCAAATGTCACTTATATTAAAGTACAATACATAAAAACATGTTCCCCCAATTCCAATACTTCATAACTATTCAGGGAGGGGGCTGTCAGTGAAACAGTTGATTTCGGCCAGTACGGACTCATTTCTAGCTCAATCAACATACAAATCTGGGTGGAGCTATTTGCATGATATAGAACACATTTGACATCTTCAGAGTTCCCAGAAAGTTGATCAATTGTAGAGATCAGGTCCGCAATTTGACTGTTTCAGTGACTGGTGGATCACTGTAGAGTCTGTTTGACGTGGTGAGCATTCACCTGTGGGCAGCCTGGGTGTGACACCCAGAATCCGAATATGAGTTGATGAAGTTTCTTTTCAACCTGCACATAACCAAGGCTTACCTCGGCAGGATACGGTGCTCTGCCTCTCAAGCCGGGAACACAAACGGTTAGTCCACCCGTTCGGAAATGACTCGGCAATGCAAGTGAGGCAATGTTGAATTCTATTCTCTCTGCTTTGCGGGTGGTTTAACTGCAGGTTAATCAAGTAAATAAATCGGCTTCCTACCTATCTCGCTGTCTATATAGTGGAGCCAAAAATTGGCCCGGTATACGGCACACATCAGGTCTCGCTGCAGATATTTATGATCGTAGGGGAGAAGTCAAATGAAGTGGGAGGCCTGAGTGTCGGACTACCTTCCTCGGAAAGTGCCAGAGGATGCTAGCATTATGGCCAGACATCCAGATGAACTCAGGAATGAGGTCATCGGATATTTTAGGGGGGATTTTAGAGCGTATTCAACCAAAAAGGCCGGGTTCGGCAGGCCTTGGCAGGTGCATCGGAAATTGAGTTCTCAACCCTGGCGGGGAACCAACCGAGAACTCAAGAGTTCTTTTTTGTGCCCGCCTCTTTTTATCAAAGCGACATATACATTCACAACACTACTTCGAGGATTCTACATTAAAATCACTGAACCCAGAGCCGTGACCGGTACCGTTGCGTAGAACGGTTGCCGACTCGTGGAGATCTTTCTCGAATGTGTTCTTCAGCCCGGTCCAGTACTGAAATTCGTCGCCCTGTGTGTCTGTATCGCCCTGGGACCGTTCATTCTTAAGGTCACCATTGATCGTTGACGCCAACTTTAGCATGAGCTCGGTGGCACCTATCACCATATCCTTCAAGTCCGTGGCCAAGTGAAGGGTGGTTGCTTCCTTTGCCCTTGCCGCCCCCGTAAACTGCATCGCTCAGTTGGGACATGGTGATGTCCGTGAAATGCCCTGTCAATCGGTAGTTTATCCTGGACAGTCCTCTGCTGCTGCACATCCGTGCGCAAATTGCTCTCAAGAAGTGGCACCAGCCGTTGAATCTCTTGTGGGATCGAAAAGTTGAACCGATCCCAAACATGTGTTAAAGCAGAAGCTTTACTTTTACGGAGTCCGTGATTTCGGCCGCTTCTGCCTCCCACAAACGACAGAGGACAGCACAAAATTTCCGCGTTGATTCTGTTTCTGGCGTAGATTCGACCAGCAGTGTCGGCAGAGTTGCCAGCCAACCGGGTAGATCCTCCGTGATTATGGACTGCCACTCTGAGGTCTGGGAGAGTTCTGCCCCCAGCGCGATGTGATGGGCGGTCATTTGGTGGACCAAATCAGGGTTATAAGTGTCCCGGGCGTTGTTAAGGATGAACCTAAGATTGGCCCACACCAACTGCTGCTGGAGAACAAGCCGCAGCTCATTGTTCTGGAACCAATGATATGCAGCACACAGGAGTTCGAAGGCGAGGAATTGTATAGAACCATGGGTAGCATCAAGGGTTAGAGCTCACAGGATGCCGCGGAAAATAGCTGTAGCCGGTTTGACTCCGCGTGGAACATGTCTGAAATAAACAAGGACTTGCAGAAAATCCCCGAATACGGCGAGATCCATGGGCTGTGATGCCTCGAGCTCCTCCACAGTGTCGTATACCCACTTAACATCGGGCATTGGATTGATGTCGATTCGACGCTCCCTGTGGTCGTCCGTGAAGAGGTTGCGCCAGTCTACCCTCACGGCTTGAAGGGTTCGGGTCATTCATTGTATGGAATCCTATATTGCGGACGGCGCAAATCTGATACACCGGTTTGATCGACTTAGTGCGTACTTGTCAAGCGTGGCCTCCAAGCTTGGATGCAGGTAGAGT